GGCGGGCAGTTGGGCCATCGCGGTGATGGCTTGCGTGATCTTATCTGTTGCCCAGGCACTAAAATTGAGTCTATCTCTTGGCCGTATGACCACTTTGTAGTCGTCAACTGGGAGTGGTGGCAGCCTCTTCTGGCACAGGGCCTGCGATTGCTTCCATCGGCTTCTGTTTTCTTGGTTATAGAGGAAACCCGTGCCACCTGTTCCCTGACGGGTATCCCCGGTTGGCTTCATGTTGCCCGTCGGGCGATTCCCAGCTGCCGTCATCTTGTCGGATACGGTGTAGTTGTTAATCTCAGCTGCTGATGCGTTTTCTCTCTCTAGTTGAAGTTGTCGCTTTCGGGCTCGTCGGCTGACCCCATCCGTCCAGGAAAATTGATCTTTTCCCTCCTGTTGATGTCGAGGGTCATCGCTTTTGGGAGTTGTGGTGCCGTCGCTCAGGCCGAGGCCTTCACCGGGATGGGTTGCGCCTGGTTCTTCGGTTTCATCATCATCACCAGTCTGCAGGCGAGAGGGTTTCGTGGTAGCGCTCTCCATTCGGTTCGGAAGTCCCGTCCACAGGAAGGGGCGGGCCGCTCGTAGAACGAAACTCGAGCGAGCCGATCTCTCGGCGGACGGGCGGCGGCGGGCCAACGAAGCGAGGAGGTGTTTATACCAGGGTCACGTCGTCCTCCGGGGTTCGAAGAGCCCGGAGACGTCGACCGCTCTCGTCGGCGCCTGGAACGCGTCTCCTTCTGTCGACGAAAATCTAGACAGGTTGCTGTGCTTAAAAGAAAGCGTAGACACGCTGTTAACACTTTCTGAAAAACTCGACGCACTGTTGGCTCTGAAACCTACGGTAGATTGGCTAAGGACTACGGTCCAAGACGTTGAAGATTCCGTTAAGTTTCTCAGTGCGCAATATGACTCTGTAATAGCTGAAGCCAAGGCTCAAAAAGAAGCGACAGAGGGAATGGGTGGCGAAATCGGAGCGTTACAGGCTACCGTTAGAGACCAGGCCAACAAGATCCTCCAGCTTAAAGCAGACCTAAATGATCGTGACCAACAGGACCGGTTACCGAATATGGAGATCCAGGGAATACCATTCACTCCAAACGAAAACCTAAGCAAGGCTCTTTGTGACCTAGCCTCTAAGATCGGCCTCCCTCAGTTCCGAACATCCGACGTCCTTTCCATCCGGCGCCTGCCCAACAAGAAGGAAAAACCTGATGGTGTCCCTCAGCTCCTGGTAAGCTTTGCTTCGGTCGATCTAAAGGAGCAGTGGATGGGTTGTCGTGGACGACTGAGAGACCTCAACCGTGACGGCGCTCTTCCCAAGCTGTTTTTCAACGATAACCTCACCCGTGCTAACCGTGAGCTGTTCTGGATTGCAAGAAGCAGGGGAAAGGAGATGCGCTGCAGGTACATTTGGACAAAAAATGCACAAATCTACGCAAGGAAAGCTGAAGGCTCGCCTCTGTTACGGATTAATTCCGTGGCGGACATCGAAAAGATCGTTTAGACCATGAACGCTAACTTTTCATCTGTTAGTAACTGTTAGTAACTTAACGGCATTTCATACATTCCTAGGAAAACCGAAGGGAACAACTTTTGTCTGTTTACATGTTAACATTCGGAGCCTCCGCAAACACTGGGATCATTTCTTATTAATTGTTCGGGATCTGATGTCTTACGTCGATACTTTTATTTTCACTGAAACTAATATTCCTGAATCTATGCTTAGCCAATACCCCATCAAAGATTGCAATACTTTTTTTCCCTAAGACCAACCGCAGTGCACCAAAGATGGCAAGTCTCTACCCTAGATTTAGTGTTTTCTCACGCCAAATCCTTGGCCCTCAAACTAGATTATTCCAATCTTTCGCTCTCTCTATTGTGTTTCTATAGGCCTCCCTCAGAAAACGCTAGGTTATTTCTGAGTGAGCTAGAACTGACTCTTTCAACGTTACCGTGTATTCATTACCTCTGTTTAGTGGGTGATTTTAATATAGATGCACTAAACAGAAGTAATACCCTCGTATGTAACTACTTAAACATTTTGTCCACCTCTGGTTTAGAATGTGTAATTACTGCCCCAACGAGAGAAGAACTCTTAGGCACTAAACTAGTCTCTTCCTGTATCGAGCATATATGCATACGAGCGCCAAGCTCCCGGGTGGATAGCGCTGTGATTCCTTCCAAACTTGCAGTTCACTACTTTGTTGGTTGTCGAGTAATACACCAACTCGACGTTAGCTCCTGAACCTAAAATTTCTAAACAGGTCAAAATCATTGATACTGCATCGCTCGACAAATCAATTGCCTCATATGTTGGGATGGCTCCCTGGGCTCTGTCAACAACGATAATATTTATCCACGGTTTGTGCAGGTCTTTAGCTCATTAACTGAAGCTGCTAAACGTACTGTTATTTTGAAAAAAAGCGCAGACTACAACACAAATGGCTCAACTTTGGTATCCTGGAAAAAAATTAAAGAAAAGAATATCTTGGTGGAGTGCTGTCGAAAGCTTCCAAATAACCTAAACCTGAGGAATGAATTTAGGCAAGCTAGAAACAAAGTGAACGCAATTATTCGCTGCGCAAAAAGACAGTATTTCAAATCAAAATTTCAAGAGGCCAAGCGTAGTTCCTTTAAAACATGTTCATTAATTAATCAATTCCGATGCACTGGTACTACACAATTTATTGAACAAACTATCGAAAACCATTTCGGCGCATTGTCATCATCCTTAGCTGAAGCGTTCGACAACTTTGCTACGTACTCTGGTGTGAGCCGAAACAATCATGACCACTCTTGCACTTTGCATAACACATGATTAACATCAGCGTTTCTTCCCACCATAGAGGACACACATCTTCATTCTCTTCTGTTCGGTTTCAAAACTAACAAGTCACCCGAGATTGATGGCATTCGCACGTATGACCTCCAAAGAAACTTCACGAAGATTAAGAATGTTCTTTTAGTTAGGCTAAAGGGCTTCATTACATGTCGTACCATACCCACTGGCCTCAAAGTAGCCATGGTAAACCTCTTTTTAAAGGAGGAATACGATCTAAAGTTGAAAACTATCGCCCTATATCTATATTGCGAATTATAGGACAATTACTTGAAAAACACATATTTCAGGCGATGACCAGTTTTATTAATAAGCATGATATCTTTACGTCAACTCAATACGGCTTTATCGCTGGACGAGGAACCCAACCAGCTCTGGATGACTTCTCTGATTATTTGCACTCAACATTTGAAAAAAAAATATGTTCGCTTGTGCAATATTTCTCGATGTATCTAAAGCCTTTGATACTGTTAGCCATCAATTGCTTCTAAGAAATTTGCAGAATTTGGGGTTTCGCGCTCCGTTTTTTTCCTTACTAGAAAGCTTCCTATCTGATCGTGCCCAACGTATAGTACTCGGAGACTTCAAAAGCTCTTTTATTTCTATAAAGGCGGGAGTCCACCAGGGTTCTATTCTTTCACCTTTGCTCTTTAATATTTTTGTGAACGATATGGCCCATGTTATAAATGGATGCAAAATTTCCCAATATGCCGACGATACCCTTCTTGTCGTGCGTCATATTGATTTCTCTGAGTCGCTCAAATTACTCCAGGCCAACTCCACGCATTTAATGGACTGGTTCACGAACAACCTTCTAGATATTAACAGTTCTAAAACAAATCTTGTCTGTTTCCACAACCCCCTAAAGAAACATCAGGGTAATCTGCAGTTCTTTCTCCATGGATCAAGCTGTAATCCTTGTAATTGTGTATTCATCGAATCAATTGACCATGTAAAATACCTAGGCGTATATTTTGATTATGATATGTCACGGAACTCACACATGTTTTACCTTTGTGGTAAACTGCTATCTATTGCCTGTATGCTTTTTAACAGTCGAGTTTTTCTGCCTGTCGGTATTCGATTTCTTATTGTACACGCGCTTGCTTACAGTTTACTCCGTTATGGGGTAACGGTTTTCGGTAACTGTTCAGGACGGTGGCAAGGGAAAATTAATATTTTACTTAAAAGTATATTAACAAGCGTCGCATTTAATACGGATCTGTCTTACAGTGCTGACATTTTTAAAAGCCTTAAACTCCCGAATTTTCGTTCTCTGTTTATTCAGAACGTTGTGCCTCGGTACTTTTGGAATAGCGATTTCAAAACACCAGTTATTCCATCCCGCACATTGCGTCGCACCTCTCGTTTCGAAGTGAAGCTTTGTTCCACTGGATATGGCAAAATGTATACGGGAGTACTATGTCCCGTTTCTGTTCAACGCCCTCCCGGACTCTATTTACCAAGTTACATCAGTGAAGTCGCTGAAACGAGAACTCAAGTGCTTAAACTTGGACACTAGTTAACTGACTTTTCAGGATGTGTGTAGAGACTGTTTGTGAGATGCTGATTGTGTGCTAGTTTAAAATTTCTTTGCGTGTGTGAATTTTACTTTATTTTGTACCTAGGCAGACACATATGTCCTTTTTTTTTAGGGTGTCATCACACAAGCCTTTATTGGCTTTGATGTACCCGTATTCCCATCCTACTTCTCTTGTCTGAATGGGCCAATAAATTTATTATTATTATTATTATTACTACTATTATTTTTATTAGTAGTAGTAGTACTAATATTAGTATTAGTATTATTTTTGTTGTTGTTGTTGTAGTTCTTGTGGTCGTTGTCGTTGTCGTTGTAGTTCTGGTTGTAGTTCTTGATTTTGTTGTTAGTTAACACTGGCTCCCGCGAGGACCCTGTTTCCAAACGGGCTCCTTCTTAGAACACAAAATACGAAATAAATGATCCCTATATAGGGAAGAGACGCTATATTGCCTCCCGATTGTTTTTCTCAAGGCAAATCAGAAAATAATAATTTTTGACACACTCTATGAGAAATTGTTTTTGAATATATAGTATGATTAGGCATCTGGAGAATTGAAACACTGCTTATAATCGCTGTTTCCCTTTTCATTCTTAGAATAAAAATGGGCGAGAGAAGCCATTCACCATAGTAAAAGCCCCAGCCTAAAATGAATATGGGTACAATTGAAGACGGCATGTCCAAGTTTTCTGGAAGGCAGATTGGCTGAATGTAATTGGTAAAGTTTACCGGTCTTTTCAATTTCAATAGGGCAATATCTCCCTGTAAGAGAAACGCATATTGTTTAGCATTATATGCAGCCAGCAAATAATAAAGAAAAATTTAAAATATTGTAGTTGGTACAATACCATAAAGAAGGAACAGTTCTGAATAGGGACGCAGACCTGCTCGACCCCAACGCAAACGACGTGACTATTCGGCGCCGTGTTGCCATCTAGTTCGTCGCTTCCTTCGGCGGTGAGGGGTCCAGTTGTTTCGCCGGAACAATCTGCATAATTGATTCTATTTACGCTTCCCATACGCACCGAAATAAAGCTGGCGTTCTCATTCCTAGACGAATAAAACAGAGATGGAAAGGGACGTGACACTGATTTTAAGTTGTAATATTCCTTTCGTCAAACGACTAGTGGCATCTCGATTTTAAAAACACTTAAGATGACAATTTGTTCTTTTTTTGGTTTTTACTGCAGCCCTGTTTTAGAGCGCAGCTTTTAGGCGCCCAGTTCCCCCCAGATTTAGCTGGGAAGTTTTCCCCCTAAATTTAGCTCGGAAATTTTTCCGCTAAATTTAGCGGGTGGATTTTTACGATAAATTTAGCTGAGAATCTTTCCCGCTAAATTTATCGGGTTAAGTTTCCCCGCTATCTATAGCAGGGAAATTGACGTCACGTGACCTTAACACCAATCCAGTTTCCCCGCTAAATTTAGTGGGGAAATTTAGGGAAAACTTCGCACTAAACGGGAGGGCAGCAGGCGAGGAGGAGGGGAGGGTGCGAAGGGAGAGAAGAGACATACACTTCCCTTTGTGCCCTCCACTTCTCCTCAAGAGCTGCGTTCTACTTCGGCATTACAGAAAACTGTAAACGTCTTTATTTTTTTGACTCATTAATATTGTGTCTGGAAAGTGCAGAACACGACCTACCGTGTGACTCAACCGGAGCAATTTGAAGAGATCGCATAAATTGTTTCCTTAATCTATACGGATAGCATTTACCACAAAGATAGCTGAAGGTGGTAGATTATGTATCAATATTTTACAAAATAAGCTTATCCGAGTAAACCGTTAAAAATCCCGACCTTGAAGACCCTACCTACGAGGCCCGTCTGCTAACGAAACCGTCCGATTGGCGCAACGGTCGATGGATGGCGGCACGTAAGGTTGCAGGTGGCCACAACGGGCGCTTTCATCGGTACCAAGATTAACCAATGACATTTTTGATCCAGAAGCGCTGCACTCGGTTTGTGAGTCAATCGCCAGTGCTTGATTTAGTTTCACAAATAAAAAAAATACAATACAAAGAAAAATACAATGTTGTCTTCTTTTTTTACTTCTATGTTAGGCTACATGTCGTCGTTTGCTTTGCATATCTTGATAATCGCCCGTTTATTTTTTATTTTTTTTATGAAAGCTTAGTTTGTGCTGTTTAGCGCTGTTAGGCCCAAAGCAACACTTCTTGGTGTGCTTATCTTTCAACATGCGAAGGAAGGCTGTTCTCCAGTATTGCAAGTGCCATCATCTGTGGCTGTTCCGTTAGCAGACAGACGCCTGAGGTAAAAATGTGAAGTTCTGGACTGCAATCATTTTATTGAAGTAACTCGCTCAGTGAATTTGATTACACAAGATCCATGCCTTCAGGCCCGTCTGTAGTAAATCCTAGCCCGATCCGTTTAAAGGAACGATTTGTGCAGTGCCTTCAAAAAGTCAAAGATTTGCTTGAGTTACATGCACGTGGAAGTCAGCAAAAAAAAGCTATCGCCGTTTTTTTTTTGTTTTTTTTTTTTTGCTTTTGGTTTTTATGAGAAACGCTGACACAAACTCTTGCACAAGTTCCCGGATTTTTTTTTTTTACAGGTTCATGCGTTTGGAATGACCGGTATGTATGCTCAGGCACATTGTGCTTCAAGTTACGACTTACAAATATATGTTTCTCAGCCAGAAATTGCACTGGGGGTTACTAATTCTTATTTCTCCTTTATATATTTACTACAAACCTAAACAGAAAAATTATTACAGTGCACATTTCGTCGACGAGCTGTAATTTTGATTTTTAGTAGTCTTCATTCTTTACACCAGTGCTAACGCTTGGCACATTACCAATTCGACACATATGACTACCTATATCTCCAGTACTTTATCAATCAGGGAGATAATTCTTGTAAGCACTCATAAACCTTGCGACGCATTAAACAACTGTTGGTTATACAAAAAAAAATGTGGTTGTTAATTTTAGAGCTGTCTCGCATTATATAATCTTGAGTGCTAGTGCCAGTAATGCATTTATACGTGATTTTGAACCGGAGACGACGGACGAGATTGAGGGAAAATACTAAAAATACTAAAGTCTCAATATGTCTTAAGACGCACGTCTCTGTCCCCCTGTTGCCCGTCGTCTCCGGTTTAGAATAATGTGCAAGTTAAAACAACTCGCCTGTTTATTAAACTTATCTTCTATGCATTTATAGGGGAGTAAAAACTAAATGTACACAACCAGCCTTTTCTGCAGCTGTTAGTTCCTTACTCGAAACTATACAGCGTCTTTTAACAAACACTGCCTTAACTCAGCCCTTGTATTATAAAGATCTACCAATAATTTTATTTGCGTATTAGGTTCTGGCAAATTTATATCGGTCGGTGAATCATCCTAAATCATACTTTTCAAGGTTGGAAATCTATAGAGATAGAAAGTTCTGCGAGAAATTAGGGGTTGCGATGTCCTGATATTAAACTTCAAAGTAGTACGCATCATTTCACTGTTACCAAAACACATTTTCCTTGAAGTGAAAATTGCATCTCAAAATGTATGCCTGTACCAATTTTAAAAGTTAAATGTCAGCAGCTGTTATAATTTAGATATACTGCTATCATCAAAAATATCTACAAATACAGCACATTTGTATGCAACGAATGTGCGACAGGTCTTATCGACATGATCCGTTCAAACAAATGTATTTTGCATCGTAAAGAAGCAGGCGAAATGTGTACATACCGAAAACAATGCGCAGCGGTTAGCACAAATTGGTTGCTTATTAATACGCCGCCGCAATAGAAGGTATCGTTTCCATTGTACAGCCCCACCATCCACGGCCAGCTGGCTGGATCTGCCATGGTACCGTTTACGATGCGTTCGGAAACAGTATTTTTTAGATGGCGCCGTCCACAGTTATCGTTTTGCAAAAGATCATTATCTTCTGTATGTTCCATGCTTGCAACTCCTGTAAATACCAGACCACCAGTGAGCGCTTCGCGACGTCTGCTGGAGGGTCTTAGGAAACAATGCAACCAAACGTTTTGCAAATGAACAAATTATTTATGAAGCTGAGATATGACGTAGCTAAACCCAGACATATCACTTCGAGTGCTGAAGAGCTAGAGGCACATATTTCATTAGGTTGCAAAAAAATAAAAAAATAAACTGTGAAACTACATGAAATGTGAAATATTTATCAAAATTTACTTGAACGGTAATTATCAAAGGACACTGTGTACTGAGGCAGTCTGTACTTAACTTGTGTTTCGAAACAAGTTCACGCGACTAAACAAGTGAAAACACTAAGAAGTAGCATCGATCCCGAAATTACCCCTCATTGAATTTCAATCTCCTGGTGTTCGAGCACTATCCAGCCTGCAACAGCATTAAGAAGAGATGCAGCTGCTTTCCTAGAATGATTTGAAAGTGTATTTATCGATGGACCATCAAATTAAGTTTTATTAAGGTTAAGTGCTGGCGAAATTAAGAAAAAAAAAATCATATTGAAACAAATAATAAAAACAGAGAAAACATATCTCGCAAGAAAGGTAAAAAACACAGGCGAGCTGGTGAATGGTATCCATAATAACCCTGAGACGAAGGAAAAATAAAAAAACGGACAGTACAACGAAGTCTCTAGTAATGCCTGGTCCATGGAGACTTCGTTGTACTGTCCGTTTTTTTTTATTTTTCCTTCGTCTCAGGGTTATTATGGATATCTCGCAAGTTCGTCGATACCAATAAATAAAGAGCCTTGACACGCCTAAACATCAGTGTGCCGCCAAAATACCATTACAATGCTCGTGAAACTTTAGTTTATATTTCCGAAAAAAAAAGTATTAGTTGCCGGCTTTTCCGCTAGGAGCCTCGATTAGGACATTTTGTTCTAGATATAACGCAATGTCTTCCAATGGACAGTCATCAAAAGTACCAACTAAGTCTTTGCCCGAATCTCTCAGGAATCGTTTTTTTTTTCTGCACAAAAGCTAGTGCCCAAATCGACACACACACCCTTTCTGTTGCAGGCGTACGAATATCTCCTCGGCAATCGGTAACAACAACTCAAACAACGTGTTCGATGTCAGTGAAGTATACTGGCTGAAACCCAACGGAGTTATTTGCAACCATTCCTTAGCGCTCATAAGCAGTACCATCTATCTAAAAAGCTAACACAAGTCCTTAGGAGCTAAAAACCCTATTCGTCAGGCCCATTATGAAATACCTCTAATTGACTACTCGATGCGTGAAAATGTTTAGGCATTGACGGGTTTACCAATTCAATTCATAAAAGACAACCTTGTTAAAAGACAGTCGAAGCTGGGATAAGTCTGAGCTGGGCAGGTCGGCTTGTTCTGTGTAAATATCAAGGATCTGGATGAGTGAGGTTTACTGATGGTCAACATACATATCAAGAGCGTTGGCATTATCACGACTTATTTCACGCGTCTGAAGCACGGTTGTATGTCTTGCTTATGAACCCGGAAGAGGAGACAAATGTCAAGACAGGGGTCAAAAACTTTCTGCGTGTCGTGCCTTTATTTTTCTTTTCTTATTGCTTCTAATGGGGAAGTTTTTGAAAATAATCTTGTTAATTAAAATATATATATATACATATATATAATTTGTTACATTTGTTCTCCTGCGCTTCCTGGTTTACGTGAGGAGAACCGACACGTGTTCCACGTTAAAGGGTGATTTTGTTCGAGGGCTGGAGATAATTTTTACCTTAGACTCAAGTGTTTTATTGACTCGGATGCAGATCATCTATGACAAGAGGTTTAATCCTGTCGTGGACATTTCCAATACCCTTCCATGTTTTAACAAAAGTGTAATACTCAGTATTACACTTTTGTAAAACATCGAAGGGCTCAATATGTAAAGTGAAAATATTTAAGTTTCGTTGCCTTTGACTTCCCGCAAGTGTAACCCTCCTAAGGCCTTACCAGTTGTTTGGGGCACACGGATTGATACATTGATAATCTAAAACTATTTTCTTATTTGAAGTCCTCCGTCATACCCAGTAAAACGTAAATAACTCACTTATCGTGTGTATTAAAAGAATGCGTATACTGCAGGCTAAAAGGTTTGAAAATTATTTGTTTCATTACTAGCTCCGAAACTTATATTTGAATGGTACAACAAAAAGTAACAATAAATTCATTACTGCTTCGAGGCACTCGTTTATTTTAGCGTTTTTCTGAATACAAGTAAATTTTTTTCTCGCTGTATTGTAATGAAACAAATCAAAGAAACTTGAGCTTTGGTAAATTTTGAAATTTGTCTGATTAACGCCAGTTTTGACACCCTAAAAAATGGCGTCATTTAGCGAGTGTGCTAGCTAGACTACACGTGGCAACCAGGAATGAGTTCGTGTATCACCGCAATATACCTTCCCGATGAATACATTCTGTGTGCTGCAGTGGTTCACTTATACTTAATATTTTATAATCCACGGTTTATAAAAGTGCATTTTCTTGCCTTCGGTTACGGCAGAACTGGTGGCACTGGGGTTTTCCTTGTGCTAGTGCATGCCAGTCACATATCTGCGCTGTTTTATCTTTGCTTTACTTTGAACAGAAGAAACCTTAAAAGTATAAATTGATTGAGTTCTGATAATAAATTCAGCTGCCATGTATTCATAATTAGTTTATGCGTGTGAGGGTTAGTTTATACGGTGATCACTTTCGCGTCTCACGCGGTCGAACAACAGAGTAATTTCTTTTGCGAGGGCCTCGTCCCGATGAATGGAGAGTTCGGTCACTTATTTATGATAATCGATTCTTCTACTGAAAGCTTGAGCAGGCGTTAAAATGTATCTAGGCAAAAATAGAACTTGAACGAAACAATTAACACAATCATCAGGCTTCAGGAGGGTACAAATTAGTAACCAACTATATGGTTTGGAAAAGAAACCTTTAAACAAAAAATCTGATTGATCGAATATTAATATCTTAGATGTCGTTTACGGTGGACAACAAGGGTCTACGTACCATGCATAATAAATGAACAAAAAAGCTTGAACAGAGCACAAACATAAAGACTTATAACGATGAAGTGATTGTTATTTTTTGAGTGGCCCCAATGATTTAATATCTCATAAAAGCACAAAGACATCTTAGTGGGTAAGTAAAGCTCCTCTATGTATAGGGTAAGAGATGAAAAAATGAGGAAGGACGACGGATGGCCCTAGATCCGTTCAGGCCGAAGCAAACCACAAGTCGTGACGTGAATAGAATACTAACAGAATTCTTCGCTAAGCAAGGCTTCTTTGTGATAACGCCTTTTTACCTTGCGGTAATTTTTTGGGGGTTAACGCCCTATTTTTATGTCCCAAAACGTACATTAAATTTAGGATGAGTCATAAATTTTGTAATGTGTCAGCGATCGGTAACGGTAAACAACACACACAGCTATAACCACTAGTAAACGTGTGTCCTAAGGAAAACAATTAAAAAAACCGGATTCATTAGAACTTAAGTCTAGTGGCATTAGCCAATGTGCTAGTGGGTAGTTCATTTTAACGGATAAAAAACAGCGCTGGGAGACGGAAGACAAACAGAGCGCTGACTTAAAACGCAGCTTTAATGGATCCGACAATGCGCATAAATAGAAAAATTGTTTTATGAATTGAGTGCGAGCAGCAGTTACAACTTTATTGAAAGTGCTTACACCTATGTCTGCTCGCTGGTGACCGCTCTTCCTGCGGTGGATCACTGTGGCGAGAGCTCTGACGTGCCATCGACAGAACTGTTCACTTCATCGGGTGGCAAACATCGCCTCGCCTCCCAGAAAGCACCCCTAGGAGACCACCTGCAGCCACGGAAAACGAGGTCCAGAAGTTGGAAGCCGTCTGCCTTCCGAAGCAAGTAAGTCACGTCTTACGCTATGGGCCAGTGTTCGCCGTCGAGCCGATGAAGTCGCCTCCGGTGTGGTTGTCTCTGATAAGTGAAGTGTAAGGACAAGCAGCGGGGTCTGAAGCGGACAGATGTGTCGCTGAGGGTGTTGATGTGTTACTGCAATGAAAGGCGTCTCGTAGCAGAGTCCTGGTGGAAGGCACCTTTACCTACTTAAGAGATAACGCCCTGTCGTTACTACCGGACGATTAGAAGGGGGTCTTTATGCTCTTACCGAAGGGCATGCTCAACTCAAAAGCTGTAGACGCTATCGAGGCTACGTTTGTTTGCAGGGAGGATGTGTTCTTTGGAAAAGTAGAAACTGAAGCTCGGAAACAATGCGAACGGCTGAATCTATCTAAATTTGCCCTAGCTGTCAGTAAGGGAAAATGCGTAAATCTATACCTATTCTCCTTAGCCATAACACACAAAAAACTAGCTGAGCGCTATGTGTAATAGTATCGAAAAGTGGAATCTGGCAAAAATCGGTGGCCGTATTCTTACAAACAGAATTGAACGTTTTATCTATTGGCAATCCCTTTCAGGTAAAAAAAGCTCAGGACAGAAGTAGACTTTTTAAAACGATGCCCGAACCGAAGCTTTGTTGCCTGTTCCGAATGCATTAAGGATCTTTAATATTCTATTCCGCACTCGGAGTTTTTGGCATGCGTTGAACATTGTATTGGCGACTAGGGATATGCAGCTTTTCAGGATTAGTGCGGACTAAGGGCGAGAAATTTCTTAAGGGCTTTAACGTTTTACCTGACATCGACTTTTTTACGTAGAATTGAGAGTCTTTCATTCAGATGAACTGCATGTGTACAGGTTCCTGATTAGCTCTCGTGTAAAGCAACATCTACCTGGCATTTATGACATACACTTATCTAGGAAACTTGAAGGTTCTAGGGCAAAGAATATATTTAGCTTTGTGCATGACTTGTTAGTACTTGTAAACTGTAACGGAAAGCATTTTAATGATTAATACTCCGTTATTTTGCCACTTTTATTAAGTGCGTGGAACCGTTCATTCTAATGCACGAATTAGCGATAAATGGTCCCATAAGATACCTAG